ATCCCTTCATCTGAAGATTCTGAATTGGATCATAACTAAACAAAACAAAAATTTAGGTTGATGATGCTAGGCATGTGGATCGAGGGCCGTATGGAGTTTTCATGCTTTTTTTTCTGTCAGTTTAATTGTCTGTCTGCTAACAACTTTAATCTTGTATTGAAACATTCATATTTGTACATGACATATTGCTGGACAGTAGCCTCATCCTAGCACTCAGTATTAGGTTTGGCATCTAGATAGATGATAAATCATTACCCATTTAGTATATAGAAAACATATTAGAGCTCTCATTTGATTCAAGGCAAGGCATTTCAACGATATAACAAGATGGGATGACAAATATAAATGATACATCGATATATATTCATAATTAAATGATTTCAGTTAAAAACTTCAAATTCTTGTTTATTAAAAAAAGCCCATTGCATAATTTTTATCCAGATCATTTTTTGTGATCATTGCTATGAAATATTTCCACTAACTAAAAACAGATAATGTTAGACATTGGCACCTGCTTCTGTTTATGTTTTTGGTGAATTTTCCTAATTTCTAAACATTTAATCAATAAGTTAAAATCATCAATTTTTATGCTCCCCGAAAAATTTCGGGGGAGCATATAGTCGGGGCCTTGTCCGTCTGTCCGTCCGTTGTCTTGTCCGGAGCATAACTTGAAAACCCTTGGAGATAATTTGTTGAAACTTCATACAGTGGTAGAGGGCATCAAGGGAGAGTGCAGTGTCAAAGAACCATAACTCTATATTTTGCCCGGTTTTTGAATTATCTCCCCTTATAGAAAAATCTTGTCCGGGGCATAACTCTAAAACTATAAGAGATATCAACATGAAACTTTGTAGGTGAATAGATCTCAATGGGTAGATGTGCAGTGCGTAAGAACAATAACTCTTTTTTTTCTAATTTTGGAGTTATTGCCCTTTGTTAATTTTAATACTTTGAACTTTGTCCGGAACATAACTTGAAAACCCTTGGAGATAATTTGTTGAAACTTCATACAGTGGTAGAGGGCATCGGGGGGGAATGCAGTGTCAAAGAACCATAACTCTATTTTGCCCGGTTTTTGAATTATCTCCCCTTATAGAAAAATCTTGTCCGGGGCATAACTCTAAAACTATAAGAGATATCAACATGAAACTTTGTAGGTGAATAGATCTCAATTGGTAGATGTGCAGTGCATAAGAACAATAACTCTTTTTGTCCTAATTTTGGAGTTATTGCCCTTTGTTAATTTTAATACTTCGAACTTTGTCCGGAACATAACTTGAAAACCCTTGGAGATAATTTGTTGAAACTTCATACAGTGGTAGAGGGCATTGAGGGGGAGTGCAGTGTCAAAGAACCATAACTCTATTTTGCCCGCTTTTTGAATTATCTCCCCTTGTAGAAAAATCTTGTCCGGGGCATAACTCTAAAACTATAAGAGGTATCAACATGAAACTTTGTAGGTGAATAGATCTCAATGGATAGATGTGCACTGCAAAAGAACCATAACTCTGTTAAGCCTTATTTTTGAATAATCTCCCCTTTTAGAAAAATCTTGTCCAGGACATAGCTGTAAAACTATAAGAGATATCAACATGAAACTTTGTTGGTAGATAAATCTCAATGGGTAGATGTGCAGTGCACAAGAATCATAACTCTACCTTGCCTAATTCTGGAGTTATTGCCCTTTGTTTATTTTTACTTTTTGAATTGTCCAGGACATAACTCGGAAATCATAAGAGATATCATCAAGAAACTTTGTAGGTTGATAGATCACATTGATTAGAAGTGCAGTGCAAAGAACTGTAACAGCCTTGCCTAATTTTGGAATTATTGCACTTTGAACTTTTTCCACGGACATAACTCTGAAACTACAAGAGGTGTACTTTCCTGTGTCCAAAACCTATTCGGGGAGCATCACCCGGCTCAAACCGGGCTCTTGTTTGAAATGTGTATCGATTATTGATGGACAGCAAAATATTAACGTTACATCATTATTGTTTCTATCAATGACAGCTCTAAAACATTAAGATCTTCTTAACTTCTTCTTATTTAGAACAGTCATGTACATCTTGCTGTTGCAGGTTTGAATCCTTACATGGACTGTGGAATATTGTATGTAAAGAAACTATCTATCAGGGTTTTTTTCCTTCTATAACAGGGGCTGATATATTAGGCCCCTTCACAATTCAAAATTGCACTTTTTTCACAAAGCGGCAGAAAAAAACTCACAATTTCAAAAGAGATTTCACAAAATATTGAGACTTTGAAATACATTGTTTACCTTCCGGTAAAACTTGATTTACGCAAATTGCAAGATGAATAACACAGAAATAGTCTTAATCAAGTTAAATGGTTTATGCTCATGTTAAATGGGTTTATGTACTGACTTGAAGCAGATTTAACACAGGACAGAAATTATAATCAACCGTTTCAAAATGTTGCAAAATGCCAATTTAATTATATGTCATTTTTTTTTTCCCACAAATTTATGACATATCATGCTTTTTTTCACAAAATGAACAGGCCCAGGCCCTTGCACAATTTTGACAAAAAATGCCCTGTATCTATAGCCAGCTTATGGAAAGTTGGTGGTTCTACTTGGCTTCTCAGTTATACCTACAATAATACTCCTTATCTTTTACTTCAAGTTAAGCTTGAAAGTCACCACTGATGAAGACCTTTACAGCATCAGTATATAGTTATTTCATACGTGATTTGGGAACAGTCAAACTGTTGGCCCGAGGTGGAGGTGTAGTGTTTTGAACTGTTGCCGAGGGCAACAGTTCAAAATACTATCCCCGACACCGAGGGACAACTGTTTGACTGTTCCCAAATCACGTATGAAATAACTGTTTTATTACCTGATCAACTACTGTTTTAATAGTACTTGCAGAAGAAAAAAGGAACAAGAAAATATTTTTGCACATTTGTTAATAATTAAACATAATATTTTAACTATGTCACGTCACGTCTGGTTTATGATCAAGATCGATGGACTCTTCAAGTGGGAATTTTCTGTGACGTCAGTGACGTCAGAGCGTGTGAGAGAAACAGTCGAAACTATTGACCGGTCAACAGTTTGCAAACGTGGACGTTTTTAGAATTTCAGAAAACAGTAAAAAATACCAAATTACATTTATATAAGGTACCATGTAATAATGTGAATTAAAAGGAAATCAAAAATTTGAGGGGGGAAAAACCTTAATAATAATATGTAAGCATACATGATGTACATTGCTTTAATGTATCAGTCTATTCATATTTCACCATTGAATTTGTAACAAACCAGGATGTTCATGATGACCTGAGTTTAAAAGATGCATAATTTGAAAACAACATGTATATATCTAATATTTTGGTTGATTATAGTGAATTTTAGCAGTTATGATAATGTTATTTACCAGCAAGTTAAGCTTTCTTGTGATCTATGACATGCATGTACATGTATGAACAGACTTTAAGTACAATATAAAGTATCAAGCAGAGTTGATCCTGCTGATTCATACATTTATCATTTACATTCATCATGTAAATTTCAACTCTAATTTAAGTTTTGACTGACTAATTTGAGCATGTTTAAACTTATTTGAATTAAACTTGTCAGCTGAGTAAGTCATAAAAGCACATTATGCCCCATAGAAATGAATGAAATTGTCCGTCTGCAGAGGGGACATAATTATTGTAAATGTTTTAAAATGTTTTAATACATGTAGTTTATTTAAAACATGTAAGATGCTTATCACTTACAGAAAATAGTACTGGATAAAAAATAATTTGTCATAAAGGTAAGGAAATGAAAAACAAAGTAGTCTTATAATTTGACTTCCATACAAAATACTGAATCACTATGACTGTACTCATTGATAAAACGCAAACAAAGCAAAAGATGCTCAGCTATATGGCAAATGAGTAACTTTATTGAAACTTTGACAGGACACCAAAAATGAAAAGTTTATGAAAAATAAAAATAATAGCATTTATGAGGCTTATTGGACCTTTAATGGACAAAATTAATCAGCATTTAGGAGGCTTATTGGGCCTTTAATGGACCAATCAACAGTTTACGTGGTTGCGACCACTTTGACCCAATATCATTATCCATTAGTAACACAGTTTAAACAAGTTCACAATAAACACTTAAAATCAAAGGAGATAAACAAACATGTTGCTGGAAAAATAAATTTAAGAACTGATAAAAAATCATAAAATCATGACTGATGAAGAAGTTCATTGTTTACTAACCATAAAAATCTTAAGATTTATTTGATATATATATAAAAATGATATTTTACTTACTTAATTCAATGATAAAATTCATCATAAAGATATTAGTAAAAGAGTTCAAAAGTACGCTAAAGTAATTTACAAGCAATGTTTTAAAAGGAAAGTAAAGGCCTGTGAAAGAATGGCTATAAGAACAGGTCTACATGGAATTTATTCTTTCATTATCTGCAGTGCTAAAGATAATTTTGTTTTAATTAAATCTCATTAACATTTTATTATGAATAGTCATTGTTAATAAATAAAGTTTTTGTTTATAATATATGGGTGTGTATCAATGTTATAGTTTTAAGAGACTACTTAGATGTGAATTTAATCATGCCTCAGGGGCCTCTCTTATCAGCCAAGACATAGTTAGGTACTCCATCTTCAACTTTTATAATTGGTTGTCAGACACTTAGGTTTCTGAATGTCTTATGCCGTCAATAATTTTATGTTAAGTCATTTCTCTTTATCCTTGGCAAAATGGTGACAGTAATTCTGTTATTATTCTTAGACCGTCCATCTTCCATCTAACATTTTAAATGAATGTTGTTGTTGATAAAGACTTGTTTTGCACAGTACTGGGTCCTATTGAAAAGGGTTTTATTGTTGATGTCTTGTGATTAAGAGACTTTTAAAACAGTTTTAGATTCAGAACAAAGACTGTTGGTGGTTGTTATAAAAAACTTTTTTTAAAAATGACCTTGTATAAACATTTATCAATATTGATATTCCAGGAACCTAGTGAGGAGAAAGACAAGGTTGAAAACAAGACTGACTCAGGTAGTGAAAATAAAAAATCAAAGTCATCAAAGACCAAAACATCATCAGCAACTGAAACAGTGCAAAAACCACAAGGTATATTCACAAGTTTAAAGGAGGTTAAGAGTAGGCCTATCTGGAGCATGATGTGTATTGTATTGTTTAATTTAACTTCCTTGTGTTATTGTCAAACTAAGAGTAAAGATCACTTAAAGATAGGCTTTGGTATTTGTTCATTTGTTTTAGTTCTTACAATATTTTTTGAACATAAAGAAGTCATATGTTAGGTTTATGATGACAAGTAGATAGTCATACATTGTTGTCCACAATATCTTTAAATAACATCATCTAAACTACCTAAATGTTGGGTTTTACCAAACATCAAAGGAATGCTTCATAGATGGCCATCCATTGACAAAAGGTTTATCACTGGTTCCAGTCAGTGTTTCGCAAGTAAAACTTACTAAAAATGCAAATGTTGAAAATATTCTCCGAAACTGCAATACTCTGATCTTAGATATCTGGCATGTACCATCATCATGTTGTTGTCAACAACAAAATTCATGTCAGTGGTCAAATGACCAAGACTAGTGGATTTAGACTTTACTATTTTATGTCTGCTTTTCATTATAGTTTACAATATTAATTGTTCCTTGTCGTTTAAAGCCATTATAATAAGGTGAGCGATATTAGGGTCATCATGGCTCTATTGTTTAAGAAAGACCCAAAATTACTTGACAGTAACTAGCTATGAGGAATACAGCTTCCCAAACATAGTTAGTGCATTGTGTTATTCAAATTAGAAATATTCAGTGAGAATTTCCAAGATTTCAATAAATTTTTGACAATAAAAGTATTTTACAGAAAAATGATCATAGTGCAATGTATAAATGTAAGTCTACAATGCCTTAAGATATTTGGCATGTAGTATTGCCTGATAGACCTCTACAAAAGTTATGTATTTTGTGCCCCTCAGAAAAAAAGGAACAGTTTCCAGTTTAAGTGGTTAAAAAAAAACAAAAAAAACTAAAAACTTTTAAAAAAGTAATATGATTTTTCATATCTCACTAAACTACAAGTCATAGCCAAAATTATGTATGGATTTATTTCAGAGCCAGAAAAGGATAGTTATGATAATGGTGTTATATTTTACTTGCGAGACGGAGAAGTTGTTGGAGTTGTCTTGTGGAATCTCCCGGGCTTTATTGGAGAACCAACTCGTCTTGATATTGCTAAACAGGTATGCGGATTTTTATGCTCCCCGAAAAATTTGGGGGGTGCATATAGTCGCCGGGTCGTCCGTCAGTCCATCCGTACGTATGTCCTGAATTCGTGTCCAGCCCATAACTTTGTTATTTGAAGTCTGATTTTACAACTTTTTCACAGAAATGATCACCACATTCAGACAACTTGTCGCACGCAATATTTGGGTCGCTACTTTGAAGGTCAAGGTCACAGACCTTGCAGCAAAATCGTGTCTGGCCCAAACCTTCGTCATTTGAAGTTGGATTTTACAATTATTTCACAGAAATGATCACCTTATTGAGAAGACGTGTTGCGCGCAACATTTGGGTCGCTACCTTGAAGGTCAAGGTCACAGCATGACCTTGAAGCAAAATCATGTCCTGCCCATAACTTTGTTATTTGAAGTCGGATTTTACAACTATATCACAGAAATGATCACCATATTGAGACGATGTTTCACCCGCAGCATTTGGGTCACTACCTTGAAGGTCAAGGTCACAGCATGACCTTACAGCAAAATGGTGTCCGGTCCATAACTTCGTTATTTGAAGTCAGATTTTACAACTATTTCACAGAAATGATCACCATATTGAGATGATGTGTCACGCGCAAGTTGGTAGTTAGATCTCATTGAGTAGAAGTGAAGTGCAAACAACAATAACTCTGCCTTGCCTATGTTTGGAATTATCACATTTTGAACTTTGTCTGGGACATAACTCTCAAAACTACAAAAGATATATTTTTTTGTGTCCAAAACCTAGTCGGGAAGCATTACCCTGTTCAACCGGCTCTTGTTTTGTCCTGCAACATCAATGGCAATAAAGAAGATAATCGAATAATTAATTTTAGCACTGCTTTATTTCATTGTTGTTTAAATAGCACAGTGTGACACGGTTCACATGATCTTCAGATTTTATTGGATCTTTATTGTTTTAGCACATTTTTATCTAAAATCATAATTTAATTAGTGGACTTGTAAAATTCAAATCTTGAGTTTATTGTCAAAGTTCACTTTGATGATTAAGTGTTGTAAATTCTGTCCATTTGAAAAAAATAATCTGAAAACTATATTGATGTACTCCTTGTATTTAGAACTTAAAAATGGTGGTATGAAATCTTTGTATAATTTACAATATTACGGTTAAAACTGTTCACTATTTAGGTAGGTCAGGCTGCACATTTTTCTCACCCTGTAACATAGGTGAAGTAATGTATTGCACATAAATTTTTTTGCATTATGTGTAAGTCTAAATGAGATCACTTAAAGGCCCATCATGTGTAAGAAAGGATTTATCAAAAACTTCTTATTTTTTGTGTCCTGTTAGTGTTTCTAAAATATTTCACATTGGCCTTTGACCTGAACCATCTTTTGTTTTTCATGCTTTTTAGCAATAAGTATTATTATCGTGATTTTGAATGGAAGTCAAAATACTATTTTGCTTATTTTATGACAAATAATTTCATATTGTGTGCTACTTTCTTCATGTGATAAGCATCTAACATGCTTGTTAAAGCATTGTTTAACATTATAAAACTCTTGTTTGCCCTTTCTAAAGAAGTTAAAATTGATTGGTTTCTGTGACATAATTTGTCTTTAATGAAGAATATTCTATATTACGCTTCTCAGCTAATGACATCATTTTTTGCAGGTGGTAGCAGATGGTGCCAAAGGAAAAGATTTATCAGAAGTTGCCAAATTATTTAATGTTTATGCTGTCTGATTGGCATAAAACTCTGTAATAACAGTAAACTATCACTGTCTCTTAAGTGTGATGAGAGGGAACCAGAAGTGTGAGCATCAGAACTGTGTCAGAGAATCTATGTTAACACTTTATATGAGCCGCATCACGACAAAACCATCATAGTGGGTTTGCGACCAGCATGGATCCAGACCAGCCTGCGCATCTGCGCAGTCTAATCAGGATCCATGCTGTTCGCTTTCAGTTTCTCTAGGGTTTGTAAGCGAACAGCATGGATCCTGATCAGACTGCGTGGATGCGCAGGCTGGTCTGGATCCATGCTGGTCGCAAACGCACTGTGTTGGTTTTCTCATGATGCAGCTCAAATATGGTTTTTCACTGCACAAGATAGAGATACGGAAAATCAACTATAAGGTAGAAATGGTTGAAAAATGAATCAAGTTGTAATATATGTGTAATATACATGTTGTTATGTTAGCGTGGAAATATTATTAAAATTAGCAGAAGTTTTTACTCAGTAGTTAATTTGTTTTTAACTCCTCTGAGAATATAGTGCTCAAGTGTGCTTTTAGGTCTTGATGTCAACATTTAAGAGTTGATAACACTGTACAGGTGCCAGTTATACTTGATACTAATCGAGCTTTGAATGTGTGTGTAGTACACTTTGGACAAGTTTATTTAGGTTAAAAATTTAAGTCATATAAAAAAACACTCTTTATTTATGCTAAAATAAAAACCTCATTTTGATTCATGTCATAGTGGATTTTTGCAACTAAAAAAAATCTGTTATCAAAATAGGTCATTTGATGATTTTAGGGTCATTTCAAAGGTCAAGCTGAATCAAGTAAAATCTTTACCTTGTCAAAAACTTAAGGAATAAGCCTAAGTTTGCTTAAATTAGTAGGGTCATTGCAAGTGGCTGTACATGATTTTTCTCAAATGATTATTTACGTCATAAGTCAAGGTCACAGTGACACTTTTTGTGAAATCCTTTACCGACAATAAAGTATGAACACGAGGCTTTTAAAACAATGTAGGGTCAATGTCCATAATCAGCAGGTGACCCCTATAGATTTTGTGGGTTAAAGTCAGTCAGATGACAGTGTGAAGTCCTTGAATAGCAATGAATTGAAAAGGAGTAAGTCGATTTGTGAAACTTTGTTAGGACATTTCCCATGGCAGATGAATTGACACCTATTGACTGACCTCAAAGGTCAATGTTACAGTGAAACATTGCTTTAAGTCCCTTTCCAATCAGCCAATAATAAGTCTAGGAATAAGCCTAGTTTCCTTTGTCAAAGGTTTGTGAAATTTACCTGTTATACATGCATTTATTACTTCTTAATATAACACTTGACAATCGTGAATTACACATAAGTAGCTAAGACACTGTGACAGGAAATGGAGTAGTTGTCACGTTGTGTTGGGGAGGAAAAAAGGCCTTTCTAGTTTTATTACCAATTGTATGTACAATATGAAAATAAATCCTAAATTAATTTCTATGACTGTTCGAATCGGAGGTGAACAGCTTATTCAAAAGTAGAGAGTGAGGCATATAATATACTTGCCAGTTTGTTACAAGTCGCTGCACTTACTAGTATTTTACTTATTTCCTGTTTTAATATGTCTTTAATGTATTGAGTTACATATATAAATCACATGTCATATATATACATACATAAGTTCTAGAGAAAAACAAATTGCTGAGAATTAGAAAAGAAATACATTTTCTTGAATGATTCAGTAGCACAAATTTCTTCTACAATGATTAGTTTTAAGCTATTCACTTGATTAAATGTGGATATGTACCACAAGTTTTACCATAGTACCATAATATGAGCCGTGTCATGACAAAATCAACATAGTGCGTTTGCGACCAGCATGGATCCAGACCAGCCTGCGCATCCGCGCAGTCTGATCAGGATCCATGCTGTTCGCTTACAAACCCTATTACAAGTAGAGAAACTGATAGCGAACAGCATGGACCCTGATCAGACTGCGCGGATGCGCAGGCTGGTCTGGATCCATGCTGGTCGCAAACCCACTATGCTGGTTTTGTCATGACACGGCTCATATTTATAACTTCATTTTTGAGAGAGAGAGAAAACAAATACGTCAAGTTCTTAATTAGTAATAAATATTTTAAGATAAAATGAAAGTTATAAATTTGAAAACAAGAGCACTTTTTAGGACATTTTATCTGTATTATGAGCAGATGCGTTTTATTTATTTTAGAGACGTTAAAATACATTTATATGTCTGACTTTTGAAGCATTTTAAAGCTTATATTATTGTATTTTAACGTCTCTGTCATGTTTCTGATGAAAAATCAACTGAATGTCATTCGTCCATCCGTTATGTTTTTCCATTTGCTTTTTGGTATGTGCCCTTCACAATAAAAAGCTTATACTCTAACGGAACTTCTAGGCCTGGTTTGGTGGCATATCATGTTGCTGCAAATCAAGGTCATTGTTGCTGCAATTGTTTTACAAACTATAACGTTTAAACAATATTTTATTTCGATCAAACATTCGCATTACAATCAAATACAAAATAGAATTGAGAAGAAAGCTACGTGCTTTCTCTCCTTGTCCGATCCTAGATAAAGCTAACGTGGGGCGTATCGTACTCGCGTCTTGTCCGATCCAAGATATGGCTCACGTAGGCCGTATAGTACTCGCGTCTTTATTTCTCTGGTTACACTTTTAGCTAATGTTTTCTTGTTTTTGAAGTTGTATAAATGTTATATGTTATCAGAACGCGTTCCCTTGTATTGAAGAAAAGAACCCTTAATGTAAATAATTTATTTTCCTAAAGCTGTTGATTTTTGTGCCCCACTTTAGGGGGGGGGGGGTAGATTTACCCCTGTCCGTCCGTCCATCAGTCATTCCGTCCGTCCGTTCTCATTTTGTGTCGCACGTAGCTCAAAAAGAATTTGACCTAGAGTCGTGAAACTTTACAAGAATGTTGATCAGCATGTGTAGTTGTGCACCGGGGTATCTTCGTTTAGATGTATTTAGTATTTGTAGTTTTCTTGGACTTGTTAAAAATTGCAATTTTCAAATTGTCATATCTAGCTCAAAATGTATTGACATAGACTCATGAAACTTTACAGGAATGTTGATCAGCATGTGAAGTTTTGCATCTGGGGTTTCGCTTGTGAATTGATATGTTTTGTCAGAGTTGCCCTTGACTAAGTGAAAATTTTCAAAGTGTACCCTGCGTACCTCAAAATGTATTTAACCTAGAGTCATGAAACTTTAAACGAATGTTGGTCAGCATATGTTGTTGTGCACCTTGGATTTCGCTTGTGGATTTATCCAGTATTTGTAGAGTTATTGTCCTTGACAAAATAAAAACCGTTTCATTATGTTGTGTTATTTGTTCCTTGAGTGATTGAGTTAGAATCAATCAACTTTGAAGGAATAATGATCAACAACACTGTGAAGCTATGCACCTGGGATTTTGCATGTGGATTTTTTTCTTCAGTTTTGTTAGAGTTATTGCCCTTGACTTAGTATAAATTTGCAACTTTCAACTTGTTCATGCATAGCTCATAAAGTATTTGACCTGTAGGCCAGAAAGTTTACAAGGATGTTGGTCAGCATGTGTACTTATGCACCTTAGGGTTCACTTGTGAATATATTCAGTATTAAAAGTTCTTTCTCTTAACTTAGTAAAAGAATTTTAGTTTTCAATTTGTGGCACATGTATCCCAAAAAATATTTGATCTAGAGTAATTAAGATTGACAAAACAGTGGAGTGTGGGGGCACCGGTGTCCTATGGACACATTTCTAGTTTTTAATGAAATTAGACTACAGTACCTGTCATTATTCTTCATTATCATATTAGTTCACACGTAAGAAATATTTTCCTTTAAGTAATAAAGCCAGTATTATTCTCCATTATCTACTTTAACGATACCATGTTCTAGTATTACGGATCTTCTAGTACACCATATAAATTTGAAATGATGTTAGATATTAGGATTCTTAAATGGTATTCAATTCAATGTTCGATTGATATCGTCTTAATTTAATATAAAAGCTGTTTATCAACTCTATTTATTTTCCGTTTACATTTGCGCCTGACAGTAGCTGTATGTTGAAATGAAAGGTGCGTGTCACATTAGCGCCACCAAGACGTGTCGCCCTGGTGATGTGTATGGCTGATTTAAAAAGAAATGCAACAAATTCCAAAGATGTAAGGGAACACTGTGGTAAATTTAACAATTAACTATGAAAATCGGTAAATTTGGTAAAAAATAGAAGAAATAAATTATGAGCATTGTCTTCTTATCTTAAATTACTGAATTTTCCGAAATGAAAAAAAAAATAATTAGAGATGAGGTAAAAACTTTTATCAGCCGTTCTTAACAACGGAAAACAACAACTACAAACAAACGTTTAAGTTAAACAGAAGAACTAAACCGAGTTACCATGGCGCTTGTTATGATGATGTTTAAATGGCAAGGAAAGCAACAATTTACTAATGGAGTCTGCTAATTGCATATTATGAATGTCACATGTATATATAAATGAGACATTAATCTGTACAAACACGCAGTTTGTCATATTTATATGTACATATATGTTGTATATATTTACATACATTTCTTGCTACAACAGTTATATTTCATATTAATTCTTTTGTAAACAAGTCTTATTTATACTTATTCTTGTACAATTCCATTTAATTCTTCAGATCCGTAAAATCACACACACACACGCGCGCGCGCGCGCGCACGCACGCACGCACCAACGCGCACGCACACTCTTTCAAAATTATTTTAATATTTAAACACGAACGGGACATCTGTTACAACGATGAAACTGTTTTTCAAACAATTATAGACTTATAGGCTAATGCCTTCAAAAGGTCAGTTTGCCTATTGGTGGTTTGAATCGCTATATTCACTTTGTCGTTTATATTTCAACGTTTGCCATCCCCCGATTACAACTCAATTACTCTTTGCTAATATGTTTAGGTTAATCAAACATATAGTTTAGCTTCGTATCAATTGAACTACTCGCAAAAGTTTGTCTACTTATAAATACCATTGTTATTGGCACTGTAGCTTTCTGAGTAAATAATTGTGGAATAGTTTTTCCCGCCCCTGCAAAATTTGAAAGCGGTTCTTTGTTGTCACTGCAAAATCACTATTATGGTCCATTGGGCGTATATCAAATGTCAAATAAGTTATACTATCGCATAAACATACCCATAAACTAGCCTTTCCCGATGATTTGATAACCGTTTTTAATATAAACACTAATTTTAAACAGTTTTTTTGACAACAGATATAAAGCACTACTGTACTGCCCGCCATATTCAATTGCCATTTTAAATAGTAAGTAGGCCTATACTTTGGTACGGATTTTCAGTAAGTTTAGACGCAATATAAATGATCATGATTCGTCATTTTTTCAAGATAAAATATAGACCATCTGGCAATTATTATTAGTTACGAATGTTTTTTTTATAAATAAACAAACAGGGATTTTGCGTAACACTTTAGATAAAGTATTAGACCATCGAACAGTAAACATATTACGTTATTTCATGAAGATGTATGGCTTAATTACAGAAGGGTCCTCAGGTACGGGTCTTTATCCGAATGGCATCTCGTATTTGTAAGTTTGTGGGTTCGTACATTGTTATCATTATAACATGCGGAATTCGGTATTTGTCTATGAATTGAAATTCCATCTTCATGTACGAAGCTGGAAACCTGTTTGTAGACTCATATTCGGAATATTTTTGAGAGAACTCAAACATATAATATATCCTTATGATATCAAAACTACTTAATAAGAGATCAACTATATATGTCAGTTATTTGGTTTTAGGGAAAAAATTGTGTAAAATATGATTGCAAAAATGTTTGAGTAAATAGTAATACAAATCATGTCGGTAAATGCCAGAGAAAACAAGCCCTGCCCACAGCATAATAAACATAAATCGCGCCGATATAACGCGATGACTGTTGACTACGCACGGAAACATTGGCCGTCTCCAAATCAGGAAATCATTAACACTGAGTAAAAGTATTTGGTATCAAAATCACAAAAAATGAGGTATTGATAATCATGGTATATACATAATTTTTTAAATCGAGAATAATATTAGATACAATATCACTTTGATGCAGCGCATGTCGCACCGACAACGTTAAAGGCCCATTATGCATCAGAAATGATTTCCTTTTTCTTTTTCTCAAAAGCTTTTTTATGATTGACTTTCAAAATACAGATAAAATGTATCGTCGGATTATTTAGGACTTTTGTTAACTTTATAATATCTGCTTTCATCAATATTTCAATATGATAGAAATCGTTAGTTCTTGAATGACATATATCAACAACGATTGACTTAAAACAAAGATAAAAATACTTTGGCCTACTTTGGCCTATCTACTTGCTGATTTAAAAGGGCGGCAGGCGACAAAAGTGTTCACAAGTAGACTGCTCTCTTTATATGCGGTTAAGAATTTAAATTTCCTGGACGAAAATGTGAGTTATTTAAGTTATTTTTTTTTATCTTAAAGTACAACTAAAATAATATTAATTATAATGATAAGTTGAGTTTAAATTACCAGATTTCTTTTTAATTGAAAGCACTTATGATTTGTCTGGGCGTTTTTGACAGAAGTGTACATATATGCTGATAATTTTTGTTGTTAAGTTGATTGTGTTTATCTATTTTTAAAGTAACAAGTTAATTATAAATGAGAATAATTTAATTGTGTCTTAATTTTATCAAAGGCATGATTTACTTTTCTCAAAATGTGTTCTAAACAAAATAAAATGTAATACATAATTTTATTATGTAGATTGTTCATGCATACATGAATTAGAACAGAACTTGTTCATGAATAAGAGTAAACGTTCAAAATGCTTCATTTAATTATCTCGAAATAATTATAATGTACAGACATGAACCGGAACTCTATCAATTTTCAGTGTGAAATGAAATTTAATTATAAAATTAATGCCAGTCTCTACGTGTTCTTCTAATCAGCCACTCGCTTTTTAAAAACTTTCCCTTAAAACAAATGTTTGTGTTATATCAAACGGCCAGTATGGTCCTTGGATGAGATTTTACAGTAACTTAAAGCAACATGCCTCTAGATTAATGCTAATTTTCATAAAAAATTTGAAAATGTATTTTGAAGTAAAAAGTGGACAAAGAAAGTAATGTCCACAGTGCAAACGGCACTTACAATTCACGTAAATAACTAAAACGAGATCAAAATATGCAAAAGTAGTCCTTACTGCGTTAGTGAAGTAGTAGAAATATGGTGATAGATACCACAAAATCAATCATTAAGCGCACATATCATGTACATTGTTACTTGAATCTTTTTATTTTTCTTAAAATCTTAGTAAATTTTTCTGATGTTTAATTTTTGTTTTAAAATATTTTGTTTTATCTGGAGGCATGCAGGCATGCAGCTTAAAATATTCATATGTATACGGTTTGGTCGTATGTGGTCTGACTATAGCAATAGACTTTGAATAATAATTTGACATTCAGTACATATGATTTTCGTTGGTTTGTTGTTGTTGTTGTTGTTGTTTACTGTAACTCTTTTACTATATAATGGGAGGTATTTGTTTTAATTTTTCTGTACTGTCATGTAAAAATTGAAAATTGCGTATGGGTACATTTGTTTTTCTAGCTGAATTCTTACTTATATTATAATTATACAGTCATATTTCGACATAAAGCCATCTTTTTAGTTAAAGAATAGGTAAAATTTGAAGTACAACTGGAATGATTTAAACAGGGGGAAAAAATTTTTGTATTTTCTGATCGCAAGATCAGTAAATACATAGCTAACATCCACGGTCTAACACAAAATTTCCTAAAAGACCTAACAACGCAAAGTAGTTCTCACTCAAAACTGCTTAAAAACCAGCAATTTAAAAGACAGAATAATTTTTAATGTAGGCATTTAACGAATTACAGTGCATTGAAAGTTCAGATAAGTCAATAGAAATATGAGGTTACAATCACAAATTTCGCGGATGAATATCATTTTAATCAATGAAAATGCTATTTTTAGCTATGTCGATTACTGAATACTCCAGGGCGTAGTACACAAATAAATCTGACTACCGAGTAGTGGAATATATACATGTCGGACTGTTTTGGCGAGAAGATTTTCGCTAAATTATTTCTATCAGTGTTAAACAGGTTTATCGTGAACAAAATACCTCGAAATTGATAAGGATTACAAACACGAAATGGAAATTCTCAATTTAGAATTACAATGTATTTGTTTTTATTCAGGCTACATATTACGTATTACTTCACCGTGGTGCAGGGGTATCGCGCTCGTATCGCGCTCGTTTAGGGTGTGAGAGGCCTAAGGTTCAAATCCTAGTTGAGGCAACTTTTTTTTGAAGTGTCTTTTTTAAGGAAGTAGCCACAATATGCAAGGATAAAGTGTGGCTGGCATAAAAAATGATTTTTGATACAACTCTAGTCATGCAAAATTCCATATGTATCAATCTCAAACTGTTATAGAAAAAACTCTTAACGCAGTCGCTGCGTAAGATGAATTATAGTATATAAAAATAAACTGATATAGGAAAATACATACAGATAGTCAGTATGATTTAGATTGCAAAGATCAGAAAATACCACAGAGCTTGCAGCCCTTTGATTTTTTACAGTTGTTGTATTTCGCATCAACGTTGTAACCATGCGTGTGAGATAAGATACAGTTGTCTGGTTGGAGTATTATATTACGGTTATTATCAACTTGCCATGGATCGTGAACAGTTTCTGTTGTGTTCAAAATCTTTATCATACACAAAACTTCCTTATTAGTATTAAAGCAGCATGCCTTCAGATTCATGCTAATTTTCATGGACACTTAAAACATATTTAAAAGTAGAATATTGTTACAAATATATTAATTTACACATTGCAAACGGCGGTTGCAATCCGCGTAAATTACCAAGAGACGAAGATTTCAAATATACGATAGTAGTCGTTAATGCGTTAGTAACGCAGTAAAATATAATAATAAATACTACAAAAAATCAGTCATTAATCGCGCATAACATGTAAAATATACTTGAATTTTGAATCTTTTTAAGATCTCGATCAGTACGTTTGTTTCAAGTTTGATTTACTTGAAATATTTTGGCTGATCTCGAGGCATGCTGCATTAAATGTTTGCGCTCTTTTATTTATAAGATTTGCTCATTTGTGATAAATGTTGAACGATGCTACCTTTTTCCTGTTACTTTAAACACTCACAGCAAATTCAAAAGTTACAAATCTAAAGCGTTTGATTCTTTTGTATCAACGCCAATGGAGGTATAAGTAACCACTTTGGTGATGATAATCCACAAGTAAGAAAGTCAACGTAAATATGAATGATTCTTATATCAGTATACTTTACGCTTTGAATTCTTTACAATTATTTTTCTCAAACACAAAACAAACCGGTTTATCTTAAAGATTTTAGCTGTTTATCCTTAAATGATTTATGATATTTTAATTGACACAGTAATTGATGTTAAGCATATAATTTCTGCATCGGGATTTGCCAATGACAGTCTAATGATGGACCTATTCAGCTGTTTCTATCGCGCATTATCATTTTTCAACGGCCATTGATCTGATCAGTAGTTTTGAGTCTATTTCAAGGATAACATGCCGATGTTACTAAGATAGTGTTGGTTTCAAATGCGTCTCAATTAAAAATTATTCTCATAATTCCTGGCTTAGATCAATCTCTGCTATTTTTGTTATCATCACGATCAAATAAACAAACTTAACTTATTTTGTCTGATGGGATTTCAATATGTTGTTTAAGAACATATGAGCCGCGTCACGACAAAACCAAAATAAAGGGTTTGCGACCAGCATGGATCCAGACCAGCCTGCGCATCCGCGCAGTCTGATCAGGATCCATGCTGTTCGCTGACAAACTCTATAACAAGTAGAGAAACTGATAGCGAACAGTATGGATCCTGATCAGACTGCGCGGACGCGCAGGCTGGTCTGGATTCATGCTGGTCGCAAACCCATTATGTTGGTTTTGTCGTGACACGGCTCATATACATTTACCTTTGACCTAGTATGAGTATTGATAATCATCAGCTGATGCAGAAGATGTATTTTCCTCTTTTTGGCTAAAGTTTTTCCATAGTTTAAAGGGAGACACAAGCAACATTTTCATTTCTTAGTTTTGAATTTTTCATTCAATATTATGTAAATGTCCTTAAAATGAATACACTAAGCAGTCACATGAACAAACCTTTTCTCCCCATAAAGAATCCTAACTTGACCCACGAGGGTCAGGTTAGAGCCATATGATTTCACAATAGTTCTCACAGTGAACTCTGGAAACGTTAAAGTACACAATACTAAAATATATAATATATAGAATTTATACAGAAATTCATGCTGGGACTTTAAAAAATGTCATTTTAAGCGTGAGTTGAGTACATAAAATCATTTTGATATTTTGTCATTAATTTGCCTGAGTATATCTTTAAGTTAGTATTACCCTATTTTTTGATACAAAATATACAAACTTTTATAGAAGGCATTGCGTATGTCCATGCGCCTATTTTCACTGTTATAATGACCACATCTATAGCGATGCTCCAAATAAGAAATAATAAGTCGTTCTCAAAAAAGTAAAATAAGAACTTCAAATAAACTGTCATATAAATAATTTTATCATAGAAAAAATAACCTTGCTAAACAGTTTTTGTAAACTATTGAAAATAACAGACACGGACATTTATTTATATGTATTTTAGTTTATAATCTGAATGACTCATATGAGGCGTGTGCTAAAGTTACATAAAGACAAATAATTATAGGGACATTGAAAACTGTAAAAAAAGAACGTGATAACAGAAACATTTCAGCGGAGAAAGTGCATCGGGCTCGTTTTTTTGAGTAGTTTGCCATTGATTTTATTTAAAACAAATGCTCATAACAGATACGTGGCTCTGACAAACCTTATTTCTATTATTGGTTTCTAGTTGTTGTTCTTTTTATTTACTTCGCTCCAGACTTTCATAAAGTCCTATCTAACATATATACATATATTCCATTTTGCTCAGCTACATGAAAAGCTGTAATAATAAAGCCTTGCTTTACGCTATTTGCGAATTATCTGCATTTAAGATGCAATATTAGCAAAGTCAAGGGCAGAAGACTCGAAAACGAACTATTTGGCCCAATTTTGTTTTACTTAATTCTATTACATACAGTTTTCATTTTGACTATACATGTATTTCTTTATGCAGTATACCATTTAATAACGTTATTTGCTGATGGAACATGGTATTTTCTTTTTTTTTGTATAAAGTCATTTTTGACAATTTTGAAAGCTATGGAAATATTTTGAATACAATGGTATATTCAAACGACATTTCACTAATACACAAATATGCTACATTAACGTTAATTTCTTACCAAGATAAAACTGAAACCTTAATTGATAGCCATAATTCGGTGTGATAAAATTCGATTAATTGGTGCGATAAAATTAATAACCAAATTTTGGATTAGATTATTGTGATGTTTTCAAATGGCATTTGAGAAACAATTGTTGTATTGTAAATACAAATGAGCCGCGTCACGACAAAACCAACATAATGGGTTTGCAACCAGCATGGATCCAGACCAGCCTGCTCATCCGCGCAGTCTGATCAGGATCCATGTTTTTCGCTATCAGTTTCTCTACTTGTTATAGAGTTTGTAAGCGAACAGCATGGATCATGATCAGACTGCGCGGATGCGCAGGCTGGTCTGGATCTGCGCTGGTCTGGATCCATGCTGGTCGCAAACGCACTATGTTGGTTTTGTCGTGACGCGGCTCAAATCTCGTTTTATATACTTTACTTTTGTATAACAACGAGAGTGTAATGTAACTGTGTATATACAGGAAACACGCTAATACAGACATGCATGTGATCACCTTGACATATTTCTTTATCAAACCAAATGTTGATAATTGATAATTCGTTTGAAATTTTACGTATATAATTATAAGAGTTATTCATTTACATGTATTTCACTTGCCATAAACTAATGTCGGGTGAAATTTTCAGTTATTTTCTTTACTGTCATGTAAATTTATATTTTTTGCGACAATTTATTTACGACGAAACATTATATTGTTGTTTATATATACATTGGCCTTACAATTCTGTGAGACAAGCTGGCATATAAACGAGTCTTATGAAATGTCAGCGGTCACGTAATACTAGCAGTTTTAAATTAAATATCATTGTATACTTTATCATACACCCGTGCCGCTCATGTGACTCCGTTAAAACGGTACTGCACGGTCGTGCATATATTTTGACGTGTGGTCACTTGCGTTATAACTGTAACAAACATACCGGGATAAAGACGCTCTAAATGTTACCGCGTCGATGTAAAGGTGATTCTTTTTCATTTTATACAGTTCATATTTAGGGTATGAAGAAGAAAAAGAAGCGATTAATAGAATATTAGATTCGTGTAGATTCAAAACTAAATTTATTAATCTTGTTAAATAAAACAATGCTCGCCAGAGACACCTTCAATAAATGAGCCGCGTCACGACAAAACGAACATAATGGGTTTGCGACCAGCAAGTATCCAAAGTATCCAAGCATCCGCGCAGTCTGATAAGGATCCATACTGTTCGCTATCAGTTTCTCTACGTGTTATACGGTTTGTAAACGAACAACATGGATCCTGATCAGACCCCTTTATGTTGGTTTTGTCGTGACGCGGCTCAAAATTAGTTTTGAACCCACACTCATTCAATATCCTCTATATTTTGTATGGATTATTGTGAAAGATACATGTACTTAACTAATTAACTTAACTAATACATTTCAGATGAAGACGGCTCTTGTGTGCTTCCTTGTTGGCCTGATCGCCATATCATTGGGTAAGTGTTATCAGTTAAAGATTTATCAAAATACATTTTAAATTACGTTATTTTAATTACTTTATTTTCATTGTACTATATCTTATCTTATTTCAATAGTGTCCAGTGCAATTTTTGAATGTGTTGAAACTTCTTATAATTTCGTTTCAACATTCATTTTCCTTCACTAAGTTCTATTGTTGGTATAAAGCGGAAATTATGTTGTTATCAAAATTTACATCTACTTTGCAAACTGTCCATTTGAGTATACATGTATATATGTACTTGTACATGTACTTCCTCATTCATTGTGTTAGATTTAGATTAAAATCCAATTAGAGCAGATGTATGTCGCCTTCTTATAGCTGTAATCGCGAAGATAATGACCTTCAATAATCCGAAATGATAATTGTGTAGCATTTTATCTTTATACTTTATAAACTTATACTCTAAAGAAACAGTTTGTCTGTTTCTTAATTAACAGTGAAATGTAATATTAACTGGAAACTTGATACCAGTTTTATCATTAATTTATCGCATTTTATAAGAAAAGTACGGGCTTTAAATATTTAAATCAAAATGTAACATATGAAGATTGACAACCCCTTCTAATCTGACGTTAATCGTTGATCGTCCTTTAGCTAAACATATATCTGCTATACATTTTCATCTTTCTTATAGAGATTATTTTTCAACACATTCAAATTCTTAAATTTATCAACATCAACAGTTATTAAATCATCAACGTTTTGAAATCAAGAATATACTCGCCTACAGTAGTTTGCTTTGTGTTATCTAATGATTAAGAGTGGTTATTTCTTTAATTCTCTAAATTGAGTTATTAACGAAAAGGGAACGGGTATTTTACATTTCTTTTCAGCTTCCGTTTTGGTAATCTATGATTTATAGATCCACTTATATAAATGTTTAAATGTTTTTTTGTATGTTTATCTTCAGTTCATGCTCAAAACAACCAATCATCAACCATGGCGCCTTCCAACAGCACAACACAAAGTAAGCATTTGTTAAAATATTTTATTTTAAAAGTGTTAGTCTTCTCATATAAATACAGTTACTATAATTCTAACAATTAAGTGTTTTCATAATAGCCTTGTTATTGGGCTGAATATTGTTTTTATTATATCGGCAATTAATTAAGGAACGTTGTGACGTGACATGACTGTATGTTGTTTAAGAAATAATATATCCCAATTCCCAAACAGTGATTTTATCGCTAATTCCCAAACAAAGATTTCATCGCTCAATAAAATCACTGTTTGGAGTTCGGATGCGAGGAATTATATCACGAGGGCGTAGCTCGAGTGATATAATGATGCGCATCCGAACGACAAACAGTGATTTTATCAAGCGATAAAATCACGGATTTGGATATATTACATGTATTTCGATTCTAACACGACATCAACTAATAAATGTTGCGGTAGCGGATATTAAGCTAAATTGCGCCTGATTTGTTTCGGTACAAGTTTATTTTCAGCAATAGGTTACGTCACATTTATTAATATAGAACGTAAACAGTGATTTTATTGCATAATAACACAAAGTTTCTGTCCTTCTATGTTCAATAGGGAACAATGCTGGTTGTGTTAGAATCCTTATTATTTGACGCTAATTGAACGAATGCCATGATTTAGAGAAACTGTATCTTGCTTCATATCATAACGGCGCTTACTTTAGGAACGCGACTGTGTATTGTATGAAGCATTTAAAAAATAAACAAGACACAGAAAGTAACTAAAAAAATTCCGAATTTGAAGGAGTTGAGATAAGCAAAGATTTGTCTTTTAATATTATATAAGATTTAAAAAAAACACATGCAAAAGTTTGGTAATTTGAGCTTACATTACAATCAGATTATTCACGTTTTTTATATTGAATGAAATAATTTCAAATTTATAAATCCTTAAATGACTTTGGTTGTTTAGGTTTTACTTCTTTTGTCTGCACGTATTTGAATATTGTTGCTGATGTTAGTATTATTCGATAAAATAATTTAAATCATTTGTTTACTTTATTACAGAAGCAGGAGCTGTTAGCGTGCAAGGGACGTCTGTGATATTTCAAATAATCTTTGCTCTTACTGGAGCCTTTATCTTTGGCTTATTAAGAAACTAAAGATAAACATCGTTCTGCTGAAAAGACTCTAGATTATTTAACACTCGTTTATTTATATACGGTCATATAGCGAGTAAATTCCTTTTGCGTTTATATCACTTTATATACATAATCATTTATAAGTAGTGGCTTTACAAGCAAATTAATTATCATTTTAGTTATAATTGTATGTAATGACGACATTCTCGGAAAAGGACAAATCAATTTCATCATTTGAGCTGAAATGTTTGAACTTGATTCAAATATGATGACGCTCAAGATGAATTGACAGTTTTTTTAGCCTTCATGCCGAGAAGTTCCGAAATTGTTCAAAGAAAGATCAAAATGTATTTGCTGATTTAAATAAAATATTAATTTTATTTTTGAATAGTTTGTATTGTTTTCAGTAGCGTATTTTGTTTGTTATTGAGAATGAGAGCTAATTTTTATATCCTGTACCAGTTAGTCTTCCATTAACGGAAATATAGGATAAGAGCCGCGTCATGACAAAACCAACATAATGCATTTGCGACCAGCATGGACCCAGATCAGCCTGCGCATCAGCGCAGTCTGATCAGGATCCATGCTGTTCGGTATCAGTTTCCCTATTTGTAATAGAGTTGGTAAGCGTTCAGCATGGATCCTGATCAGACTGCGCGGATGCGCAGGCTGGTCTGGATCCATGCTGGTCGCAAACACACTATGTTGATTTTGTCATGACGCGGTTCAAATATAATGTTATTGATTCAGAAACGAGGTCATGAGAGGCATAAGAAGCTGCTGCTTTTTCGCAATAACATTTTAGCTTTCAATTTTCAACATTAATACCTAGTTTAATCAATATGCTCTGCAACACACTTGCAGCGAGTTAGTGCACCAAATTTCTTATTCAAGGGCTCAATAATCTCCTCTTTACGGTGATGTCACTTGTAAGAATACCATGGCAGACATTTGTGGTTTTAACCTTGACCCGCACCGATCCCCCCCTCTTTCCGCAACTTACTGCCACGTTTCCAAAGGGCTAATTCCTTTAAATAAGAGCTTTTTGGATGACTGAAAGCCTCATAGTTACTGAGGTAACTTTGCAGATAATATACGCGTTGATTACCCTACTGTTAAATATAGTAAACCGTGACGGTGAAAGTTGTTTTTTACCCCGAGTTTACATGGGAAAAATCGCCTATGACTGAAATACTGGTGAAAAAAGGCGTATTATGAAACAAACTAACAAACGTGGGAAAACACCACATTTGGCAAGTTCCGGGTAACATTATACATAAACTGAATAAACCCCACTATTAATCATGCAGCCTTTATATGAAAATCTTTTTATTTTCGCCTACCCGTGTGAAATTTAAATAATGATGATATTTGAGTTTTTTTTGTGATCATATCCGTTTTAACAGCAGGATGTTTATTTTTTGTGTAAGTAAAATATTACTTAACTTAATAAAGTATTTAAAATTCAGTTTATAATTTGCATGTCATTTACATCTTTAGGCAAAGAAATAGTGTTTCTTTTGTCGGTATGAAGATTGATTGATATACACTGATGAGATACCAAACTATCGCTTTACTAAAATACAAATGAACAAAAGAAAGAAGCCGGATACCCATCAATTGACATGCATTATGGTCGACTATTTTATTCAATGTAACGGTAAAAATTAACTTCCGACTCAAGTCAATCCTACCGTCATGAGCTGCACTGACTCCATACGATGTCATGTTGTAAAATCATACGTGTAAGTGCGTGTGTCACAATACAAACTGTACGAAAACGAGCGACTATATAGCAAAGACAGCTCGGGTTTTAGCCATGTCGAAATGCTGGCTTATTGAAAATAGGGGAGAAAGTCTTTTAATTCTAACATGCTTCACAATATTCCCCTAACAAAAAATAGGAAAGTCAAGTGCGTTATTGCACGATATATGCACAACATGAAAAGGAATGTTTGTATGTCATATGGCGTTAGATATGACGTCAATTAACCAACTGACGCCTGAAAAATTACTTTTACGCTCAATGTAGTTCAATATATTTTTTATTAATATCTTTTTCTATTTGAATTTTAAAATAGAAATAAATTTATTCTTCGTGTATTATAGTATATGACTTTTGTGATTACATTCTCACGCATTTGAACTCGAACTGCGCATTATTCTACAAAAATGCACTAAAACTGATATCTATTTCCTAAATATTTTACGATCAACAATAACACGATTTGTTCGACGCGGAGACACAGTCCTGAACATTTGCTGACATGCGGGGATGCCACGTTAAGTGCGCCTCGTGTGACAACCATTAGACAGGGTAATGTCGTTGCAAACGTACGTGACAAGTTTTCTCGTTCAGTGATTGGTAATCGTGTCGTGGCTTTAGTCGTTATACTGTAAGACACCGTTTTGGAGCGAGGCAAACAGTGTCGTAGATCATACCACGGAGTCATTCTAAACAAACGTCACCGTCAACAACGTCCTCTATGGACTCGTCATCATCTTCAGAATCGTTGGAAAAACTTTTTTTATTAGTGACGATTCACGATTTAATATTTTATTTCAATGCTTATTGGCACATTAGGTTCGAAACGAATGTTATTTTAATAACTGTGTGAAACAGTAAGACCATTACAATGGAGGCGGTGTTATGGTGTGGGGAGCAATCAACCATATATTAGAATCAGTTTTAGTAGCTTGTAAGGTTTATATCACAGATAGACGTTGTAGTTTATAAGTTTTCATGTTTAAATGTTGAATTCTGCTTAAGCCCGTGCTAGGGGTAGCTTGCACTTACATGTACCGCCTATGAACATGCTCAATCAAATCGGGCAGGCAACATGTTCAATTTTATTATTCTGGACGTTCTACAGGGATTCTGTTTTCTTTATGTATGACTATTTCATCATTCCTGTGCCCCAACAACGTAAGGATCTATCAGGACAGCATAATACTGCCAGACCACATGTACACGCATCACATAGGATCATTATCAGCATAATTTTATCTAAACGTTTCATGTTATTCCCTGGTCAGCATATTTGCTAGACTGCAACCTTACACACAACGAGTGGGACTATATTGTTCAACGTCTACCTAAACGTCAAAAGCAGCCCCAGACCATCCAGTTACTGATGTACGCTGTTTGCGAGGAGTAGAACATGATTCAACGTTACCTTCTACCTTCAACTGGTGCTGGTCTATGAGAAGGAGACTGGCTGTTATAGCCAGTGGTGGTGATCACACCAGATGCTGATTCGGAATATTGAATTTTATTCACTATGCCTAAAAACATGACTGTTGTTGACTGAATCTCGCGATAGTTTGTTATCTTAAAGGCCAATAATCCTGTTTTTAAATAAAAGTAGAAATGTGTCGTCACGCCATGGATGCCCCGCATGCAGCCAAAATTTCAGATGTTTTAATACTTAGTTCCAAATTTGTTTGCACAAACTATTTGTTTTTTCATTTTAAGTTCAAAGCCCCTAAAACTATTCATATACTGTATTTATAGCATATTTGTATCAATACATTTCCACAAAAGTATGAGTGCTGAACCTTAAAACTCAATTTTTTTGAAACATTCAAGAGAAATAACTTTGTCAAAAATCATTAAACCACGACCAAACTCAAACTTGAACTGTTTATTCCTAAGATATATCTATATGTCAAATTCAAGTTGAATGTGTACAACCATTGATGAGATAATGAACGGAAACTAAAAATTCCTGATTTGTTTTCAAAGTTCAAGAGGGATAACTGTATCAGCTATCATCAAACCATGACCAAATTCGAACTTGACAAGTGTATTCGTATTGCACATCCATATTTTAAATTTGAGTTGAATATGTACAACTGTTGGGGAGATAATGAACGGAAACTGAAAATTTCCTTTTTTTTCAAAGTTAAAGGATCATAACTCTGCCAAAAATAATCAAACCAGGACAAAATTCAAACTTGACCTGCGAATTGCTTTGACATATCCATATGTCAAATTTGAGTTGAATGTGTAATACTGTTGGGGAGATAATGAACGGAAACTGAAAATTTAAAATTATTTTCACAGTGAAAGGGGCATAACTCTGCCAAAAATCATCGAACCATGACAAAATTCGTACTTTACCTTCGCATTGCTTTGACATATTCACGTGTCGAATTTGAATTGAATGTATAATACCGTTGGGGTGATTATGTACGGAAACTCAAAATTTCATATTATTTTCAAAATGAAAAGGGTATAACTCTGTTAAAAATCATCGAAACATGACCAAATTCGAACTTGACGTATCCATGTGTTAATTTGGGTTGAAGTTGAATGTGTAATACTGTTGGGGGAGATAGTGAACGGACATTAAAAATGATTTGAATTTAAAATTACATGATTAAGATCAAGTTGAAGAAAGAAGCATGAGTTTATTCTTGATATTCTTCTCAGTTTAGAAGTGGTTGCTGACGATTAATTTCGTATTCTTGTCAATATTTTCGAAATATTGTCAAGTGTTTTTTCTAAGGTCAAGCATAGAAATAAGCTTATTAATGTAGCTGATATATCCCCGGGGGCTGGTTTACGGTCAACGAATATGAAAAGCCAGTTTTTGGATCAGAAAGTGTGGATGAAAAGCACATTAAACAGGCGGAAGTCAGGTCTGTACCGAAAATAAAAACAACCTCTTCTACTAGTAAACATTATTTCAATCCTTATAAACGTCCTCTAATTTCATGCCGAGAGAATCGCCTTCCGATACTGTTCCATGGCGAAAACCGGCTTATTCCTTTCGTGGCACATCTTGACAAAGGTCCATCAGAGATATTTGCCTGTATTGATCACACCTATATAAGTGTTTTGTGCTTTCTTTAGGGATTCTGCTATTCTCTATTTTGTTGTTTTTTCAAAGCAAGGTTATAATATTGTTTAATTAGAAATAATTTGTTTGTCTGAAGAAACTGAAAGAAAACATAAGTAAGGATCAATCTGCGTTTATAATAATTTTATGCATTAGGTGTTGCCAAAGAAGTAATTTTGGTGGGCTAAAATGTGATAAACAAGAAAAGGCGGCGTTCAATGAACGCAATCCCCAGACGACACACACACACGACCATCGGCCAAGAAGTCCCCAAACAAAAACAGGATAAGGCACAAGGAAGAGCAAGGACAAGATAATCACTTTAATTATACATAAAAGAAAATAATAGAATAGTAGTCGACAATGAAATTAAAGAGACGATTAATTAAGATATTGACTAGATCTATAAACGTGAAGGGGTGTTAGTGAATAGGCTAAAAAGTCGGGGGGAGGGGCAACATCTAAATCCCCTTCCGCACTTTACATAAATGTGATTTCTTGACCTTTTACCAGCCACGATCTTGATTTTATGCCAT